TTCAAGTGCTCCTAGTGTTAATATATGAAATTTTACAGTAAAGTAATTTAAATAAATTTTTAACTTACATAGTACTGTTTATGGTTTAATCTGTGGCAATTACTAAAAACTATAAAAGTAAGCACAGTAGATTGTTTGTTAAATGTGGCACATATTTCCCCTCCTTAGGATGAACAATTTTATGTCAATTGTTGTTTGTCCAGAACTTCTCTAGACTAAAACTTCACTTATCCCTTCCTGCATTTAATCCTCTGTTGATAATTCTAGTAAGAATCAGCTTGGATCAGGTATGTGGTAGATGTCTGATGGAGCCCAGACCTGTTTGTAGTTCTGCACAAAAGGTGTGAGTACATTAGATTTTCATCAACGTCTGTGTTTGCAGATGGAAGGAGGAAGCAGTGATTTTTAGGGTGCTTTTAACAAATCTATTATCTACTATGAAGCAGATTATGAACCAACTTTCTTGACTTTAAACACGAGGTATTGTTCAGCAACTTTATTTTTCACTGTGTTGCAATATAGTAGTTCTGAATTAATAAAAACAAAACAAACAGAACCCCTCCCCCAAAAAGCCACACCAAGAAAACATGCTTAACAAAGCAAATCCAATGTAGAACCTGCTAGTATTTTACCCTTCTCCATGCTGATGTTTCTTTTTTAGACAGCTGATGAGTTGTGTAACTGATTAATCAATGGTGTCTTAGTAGTCTTTTTGAAGGGTATTCAAGAAAGGAGGGAGGTTCTATGGCGTGTATCACAAAGAAGAGAAAAATGTCTTTCAGGTGATTCTTTGTTTCTAAAGTTACGAAAATTTTGCAGTACTCAATATATAACTCCACCAGACTTAAATAGGTTTTGTGCTCTGAAATGTGCTACTGAGTTTAAATTTGTTTTGGTGTTTGTTTCCTACAGTAGATTGCTAAACTAAGTAGTATAATTGTAGTTCCAAAAACTATGAAGTCACAAACTGATCTCATGTATCCTTACCCTGTTTGTAAAAAAGTTTTTCTCTATAGATTCTAGCAATGGAGCTTCACAGCATAAAAATTATAGAATTCTTTGTTGTCTTCTTCAGTAGTATTTATGATACTGGGTAGATTTTCTGCTTTTTATTACAAGTAACTTATTTCAGCTAAGTAATAGAGATAGGTTACTCGAGGAACTAAAAGCCAGAAGACATGGTACCTCTGTGAAATTGCTAGTGATCACTTAATGTGTTCATGGCTGTGTGAAATACAGATATATTTTCCTGACTGACAAGAAGAATGAGCTGCAAGGATTTTCTGATTAGGAATTTCCATGTGTGGTATATGAGCATCTCATTTTTCTTTTGGCGTTTCCTAATTCATCATCATCACCATAATTACATTTTCATGCCAATAAAATTGCCCATAAAAGAACCTTCTTAGGAAAAAACCTCCTGCTTTTGGCCTGGACTTGATTTAAAATACTGTGCCCTTTAAGAATAATAAAAAGAAAATACTGGGCTGACTTGTGCAGTTCTGCTCTCATTTAAGACCGAGTTCTCAGTCTGGTGTTCAACTTAGTTGCAACTGCTGGTGATTGAGCAGGGAAGTGCTTCCAGGCAACAGGTATGGTACAAACTGTGTTGCCAGTGTCCCAAAAACTGCCCTGGATCATTTTCTCTTCCCCTCATCTTTTGTCATACATGTATTATGATCTGCCTTGAATTGTGGTTTCACTGCAAAGTGGAGGATTTGCCTCAGACCAATGTGTGAAAGATGATTCGAAGTAGAATTGGGCTCAAGGTTTAGAGGGGAAAGGGCCAGTTCAGGACAAGTTTGGAATGACCTCTGTATTGTAGGCAGGTGACAGATTAAGCTGATCCTTCTTGCATCTTTAGAGATTTCTTTGTCCTTTTAAAGATAGTTGAAGAGTTAAAACTGAAGACTGAGTCATATAATCAAATTCTTTGGTTGTATATTTGATGAGTTACTCGTGTAAGATTTGTCAGTCTGTCTCAGAAATGTAAGGCAATGTGGAAGGTGATGTTGAGGGTGGGAGAGAGAAAAGAATTATCCCCAACTCTTTTATAAGTATGTCAGAGCCTGCCCCATCTGTTGAACAATTTCCTCCTAACATTTCCTGCAGTTGGAGCTGCCAGTTCAGCCCATGCAGTTGGGTGGATAGTAACTTATATTTGGTGTTTCTTTTAAGCAGCATTTGCCCAACACTGGTTGTATGAGCACTATCCTCAGCCCCACTGTGAGAGCTACACTAAAACAAATAGCTGTGGGAAATTTCTGAGAAAATTACAAGAGGTAAAAAAATACTACAAGTAATAGTTTGGGAAAATACAGACTGGAGAAATCTTAGGTAAGATGAAAGAAGCATGAAAAAGAAGTATTTCCTGGTTCCACTGGCACCCAGAGTGATTAAAATAGCTGAGTTTTGTTTTAAAATAATATATAGTTATTTTAGGATAGAAATGACCTTTTTGACAAGAAGTGGAAGCAAAAATGAGGAATAAGTTCCTGTCAGATAAGTGTTTTGTTTTTATTTCTGGAGATTTGGGACTAGCTTTATAATTCTCCAGTGATTGCTTTGCAAGCCTCTTGGAAGGAAACAAGGTGGTTGAAAGCTAAATCATAGACAGTTTTGAAAGAGGAAGGGAGCTTAATTTTTCTGCAGAGAGATATGCAAGCCAAAATTAGGTAGTAGAGAGGAAAGATGGAATTGAAAACCAGAATTTTAGGTTGGTTATTAGAATGGAGTGATGAGAACTGGAGGGAGAGGTACATGCTAGCAATTGCATGGCATAATTACCAAGTTGGACTAAACATTTGGAATAAGTAGTTTCTGTATATTTTCTTGTACTACAAAAATATATTACAAAAATACATCTAATTTTTCTTTTCAGCTAATAGAGCTCATGTGATGTAGTAGGATTTTAAAAAGGCTGCAGTTTAAGCATTACATAGATACACGTATTTCTGAAGTAGGTATTTCCAACAAATGTACGAAGCATAAGTGTGGATTTGGAGCTCTAACACTTGAATATCTCCTTTTGTGACTTTTGTTGCCTGGCATAAAAGAATGATTCATGAATTCCCTCTTTCTTCTCATTGTCCTTTGTGAATGACAAAGAAGTCACTTCTTTGCTGTGGTTCTTAACTGCTGTGTATTTGATGAAAATAATTGGCCAAAGCAAACATTCTTCCTAGAACTGTGGAGCTGAGTAGGACTCTGTAACTTACCTTTGCTTACCTGTGGGGAGAGAGGTCAATGTTTATGATCAAACAGGAGGTACCTGTTTTGACACCACATAAACAGAAGTTGGTAGTCTTCTGTTACAGCTGTGTTTTCAATAGCTACTGCAGAGTTGGCTGTTAAGAGTATCTGCAGATAAGATCAGAAGTCATCAGTTCAAAGTTCAGAAGAGATCATTAATTTCAAGGACAGAAACAGCTGAATTTGTTAGCCACTGCTTTTTGCCAGAAGCACTTCACTTGTACTGACAATTAATCTTGCATCACAAGTGAAGTAGATAAGGCCAGTTACTGAGTGCCATGTTTCCTATCTGAGTCCATATACTTGTTTGGCGTGGCTGCCCACTGCAAATATAAAGCTGCTGTTGTAGCATACATTTTTATTAAACAAAATGGCAAGTTTTGTAAATGTTTAGGTATTTGAATTCAAGCAACTATTCAGTGCTGAATTAGTTTTTCATTAAAATGTTAGTAAACAGTTTTTACATCATTTAACGTGGACTGCACATTCCTTCAGAATATGAGAAGAATTTTCTAATAACGATTTGAATGAGTTCAACCAACTTTCAAGGCCAGTCAGACTGCTTCAGAAGCTATGGATAAAATCTCATTAAGTTTTCTCTGCCTTCTGCCTATGTTTCAGACACAGGCTGAAACTTTTAGTGCTTCTAATATGTTAAAAGTGTGCAGAGTCAGTTTTTTCCCCTTTTCTGAGTTTATATTTCTGCCTATGCTTGTAGAAAAAGAAATGAAGAACTTTTCTTCCCTGTGAGTTTGGAAAATGTGATTGAATTGAACCTGGGTTTAGAAGAAAATAATAGCCTGTTGTTATCAGTAGACCTAGTTCTAAATCGTGTGTTGCTATCTTAAGCTTTGATATTGAATGCATTTATTAGATACAAAAGTTCAAAAATTTTCAGTATTTTGCGGTAGTCCATCAAAGTTGTATGGCTTTTTACCTCCAGTACAAGTGTGTATTTTTATTTAGAAGAAAACATGGAAATAACCATATAAAAATGGCACAATGTATATAAGCTTAAGTAGGACAAACTTTTTTTCATATAGGACGAATATTTTTTCCCAGCTGAAAAATCTGTCTGCATATGGTTCTCAACAGAAGAAATTAGAAATTTCTGTTATATAGGTAAAAGGTGCATTTTCAATTTCATGTAAGTTCTCAGTACTGTAAGACTAATTACTTGATTATTTTATTTATGTCATCTTTTAGTGTTACCATATGTCTTTTAGCATATGTATCTTACTTGGAAAAGCAGGTTTTAAAGCTCCATCTGATGAATTATGAGTGTGAAAGGAAATAGCAATCCTCCCAAATTTCCTAAGCGATTCTCAAATAAAACTAAATTCACTTAAGAGAGGAGAAGGTGAGCTTGGCTTTTCACAGCAACTTTATATGTGTATTTAAACAAGCAGTGCTGTCATTTCTGCTAAGAATTTCTGAAAGAATATAATCATATCTTCAGATTGATGAACAGCAGTAGATAAAATAAGGAGTCTTGTGCTCAATGGGGTACAGTTTAAATAGAGAAAATCTAATGGGAAGTAGTTACATTAGTAGCAGATGGATTTACTTTCTGAATCTTGATCTGAGTAGAAATCCTTGCATACTTAAAATTTGTCTTCCAGATTCTTACCCTGATAAGAAAGGTGGATAAAGCAATTTATTTTCTTTTTTTTTTTTTTTTTACCTTGGCTTCAGCTGCTGTGGGGATGTGTTTTGCTTAAACTTGCTATTGTTTGATTTTTATCTAGGCTATTTTTATGATTCCTACAAATCCCCCTCCAACCTTCCGGAAGCCAGAGCTCTGGTCTGATGAATTCACAGATTTTGTGAAGAAATGCTTAGTGAAAAATCCTGAACAAAGAGCTACAGCAACCCAGCTGCTGCAGGTCAGTATTTGAGTTACTGAGAAAAAGCACATTTTATATTTGGGCTTCTTTTTTCCTTTTTCCTCTCAAACCCAAAATGTTGTAAAAATTGTAAGGGAAAAATCTTATTTTAACTATTATTGTGCCTTATTTCTTTTTACTTCGTAGTCTGTTCTCTGTCAGCTCCTGTATCTCTGCCCCCATTTTATTTCTTGCGGCTTCAAAAAATTCATTGCTTATTAAATACTTTAAGGCTGGTTCTTGCTATTAAAATTGGATCTTTGCTTTGTGGTTAGAGGCCTTCAGTAGATCTCAGGATTTAGACAAGTGATTAGTAAAAGAATTGAGCCCAGGTTACCCCTCTGTGTGGATACACATGGGGTATATTCAGTATTTCCTTCTGGTCAGATTGAGCAGGCAGGTGGCTCTGTGTCCTGGAAAGGTCTGATGCAGATGGGCACTATAATGAGTTTGTTCTTGGGCTGAGTTCAACCAAGTTGGCCCAACAAGATGGGCACTTTCCTAAGTGAGCCACAGTTGGCAGTGTGGACCTTTGGAGCAAGGCAGGGTATGCTGGGCTATCACTTCCTTTATTACTCTCCTGCTAGATTTATTCTGTGTTGAGCTAGCAATAGCAGCTGTTAAATTCTAAGTTCCAGTGAACACCACTACAAGGAGAACAAAAATTTTGCAAAGTAGTTTTTGGTAATAGAGCCGTCAAATTTGTAGATCATGCAATGAATATTTAATTTTATACGTTGCAAAATACCAAAATGTAGACCACAAGGTAAGTAAAAATTGAAAGTTATAGGTGTCTGTGTGATGTATGCACCAGTACTTGAGACCTCCAAGATTTGAAGTTTGTATGGTTAGCTGAATACAGACAGCTACATAGAAGAGACTGGCATTAATGTGGGCAAGTAAGGAGAAACAAAGAAACAAAAAGCTTCAGTGTGCAGTTTCTTTCCTATGCTTACTGACCAGAAAACCAAATACTGTGTTTGTTCATCAGGAATCTGTGTTATCTTTTTCCCCAGCTGGAATTTGGAGCATATGTGATGGAGCTGGAGGTGCTGTGAAAATGTTTGAGTAGAAATGAAAGTACTGCTGGTGAGGAGAGGTCATGGAATGAAAAAGAGAATAATTGAATTAATATATCAAGAGAGAAGATAGATAATACGTGTAGGGCATGAGGCTTCATCAGTTCTGTTCTTCATGGAACAGTTTTTAAATATTTAGTAATATTTTTCTGAGGTGCTTAGTTAGATTTTGCCTGAATTGTACTTGCATATCATGATGCAAATATCAGATTTCTTTTTCTAACAAGTATTTATTAGGCAGCAAAATGTGCAAACAGAATCATGCATCTTGTCCTAAATGAAGAAGTAATATTTTAAATGACTTTGAATTAAAAATTAAACTTCCTGCTGAAAGGAAGGGCTGCTTTTTTACTGGTTCCACATTTCAGCATCATAGATGAAGGAATGTTTTATGACATTTAAAGTATATGTTTGTTGAAGTAAGCTGCCACAGATGGTCTGGTTAGAGCCACTAATTTATACTCTCAATTTGTTAAGATAGGTTAAATTATGAAACTAATTCCTGAAAAACATTGGTTTTCTGTGTCAGATCATCACCACTGTATTTACAACTTACTGCACGATTTCTTTGGAAAATTATATCCTCAATCATAAAACAGTTATTAAGTGATTACATTTCCCAAGGCTTGCAATGAATAAAAATAGTTAAAGTAAAATTTTAGTTACGAAGCAGCTGAAAGATACTGTATGTTGTGTTGGTGTAGATTTTGGTTATTGAGTAATGTATGATACTGTTTATCACTGAAATCTGTGGTGTTGAATAAGATTTGTAATTAAACCTGAAGCACAACTGCTGTAATGATATTACATATTTTAATGATTTTTTTTCCCCCTAGCATACATTTATTAAGAATGCTAAGCCAGTTTCAATTTTAAGGGACCTGATCACCGAAGCTATGGAGATAAAGGCAAAGCGACATGAGGAGCAGCAGAGAGAACTAGAAGAGGAGGAAGAAAACTCGGTGTGTATCCGTTTTTCTTATAACCACCTAAACTTAACAGATAGGTTGCTGATGTTCCCCTGCTTCCTGTAGTTGTGTTTAAATACTTTTTTTACCAGTTTTCTGTGAGGTTTTAAGCCTGCGAATTCTGAGTATTTCACACTTTAATTGTGAGTAATGCTGTATAAGCCAGCTTTCAGCACTATTCCATGAAATGTCTTAGTAAAAGCTTTTCTAGGAAGTGGGAAAAGAAGCCATGTCAACTTCAGCTATTCAGACTAACATTAAAACCCCCAGAAATGTTTAAGGTTCTACTTTCACAGGTGGTCTTCTAGACAAATGGTTTAGTTTTTAGTTCAGGGCACTTGGCTTGGTGTTTGTTTGGATTTTTATGGTGAAGTCTAATACACAGAGTAGTTAATGACGACACTCAGTAAGCAGTGATTGCAGTGTGGTTTGAACCAAGTAACATGCAAATGATGATGGCAGTTCATCTTCAGATGACTTTGTCAGCATGTTTGAGAAGAGAAGCAGGTTGTGTGACAAGTAGATTGCATTTAGAATTGTTTGGCAGTGTTAAGAATAAGTCTGTGTTCCTGGCATTATTACTCTTCCCTACATAATTTATTTCAGGTTAGTCTTGTGCAATGCAGCAGAATGTGCTTCAAAGAAGTGTGTTGCCACACATAAAATGTGTGGTCATTCAAGGTCATTCAGAAAGAGCATAGAGAAGATGGAGACTGAAATGTTACAGCTTTGAGCAAACAGGAAAGAGCAGTGCAGTAAATGCAGTTGTCCTATAGTAAATTGTAGAATCCTTGTTGCAGAGTGCTATGTGATGATCTATATATAGGGATACTTTTCAAGCAGATTCTGTGCAATCTTTTGTATCTCCAACAATCAGTGTGGTTGGCTGCATTTTCTTCTGTTCTAAGAATATTGATAGATTGTTTTTATAAAGGTGGTTTACTCTGAATTGTACTTGCTTAGTCAGTAATAAACAGGCAGGGAAGGCTGAGACTATTTTTTTATGTTAGGAAATTTTCCTCTGTGTGACTTGACATGCAGAGTTGATGTTTGTGACTTGACTTACTGAACAGTCTTTTTGAAGAGACTGATTTATTACTGACATAAAAATTGGATATCTTTACTAGCTTGGTTTCATCCATACTATTGCTTTCTGAACTGGAGATGTTAAATTCTTGTGCACTGTTTATGTCTTTTGCATTAACCCAAAATGAGGCATGACATCTGATTACTTAGCCTAAGGTTCAGATCACATTGCCAGGCACAGTCCATGCCAGCTAAGGTTGTGGTGTTCACCTCCCTCTCCCACTGCTGTGTGGAAGGGTGTAACACAAGTTCGGCTCACCTCAACTGAGGCAGAATTTAGCAATTCTTCATGGTTCTTGCATGGATACAGAAGTTAGAACAGGGCACTGCACTCCCTGCTCCACCACCCCCCACACTCCTTCCCTCCATACTTCCCCCCATTTAGTATTTCAGTGTAAGAGAACCTCAAATCCAGGATTGAGGCAGCAATCTGTTACTTGTGTTGCCATTGTAGCAGTTGGGAATTCTCCCATGAGCTCTTGTGATGCGGTAAGGGGCAAGTTATGAGTAAAAAAGACTACAGGAGTCTGCTTGTCACTACATATAGAAGATAAGTGCCTCAAATCTGAAAGTAACAGGAGTATCTTTAGTTAACAGGGCTGAAAAAACAGAATCACAGAGTGGTTGAGATTGGCAGGTACCTGCTGAGGTCATCTTGTCCAACCCCCCTACTTAAGCAGGGCCACTGAGGTTTTGCTGCCGGGGACCATGTCCAGACAGTTTTGAATATCTCCAAGGAAGGAAACTTCACAACCTCCCTGTGTAGCTCGTGCCAGTGCTTGGTGACTCTGATGGTGCAAAAAGTATTTCCTGATGTTCACAGGAAACCTCCTCATTTCATTATATGCCCATTGCCTCTGTTCCTGTCACTGGGCACCACTGAAAGGTGCTTGACTTCATCCTCTGCACCTGCCCTTCAGATACTCAGACATACTGGTGAGGTCCCCTATGAGCTTTGTGTTCTCGAGGTTGAGCAGTTCCAGCTCTCAGCCTTTCCTCACGGGAGAGAGCCCAGAAGTGGATCCAGCACTCCAGGTGCGGCTTTAGCAGTAGAAGGAAAGGATTGCTCACCTCCCTGCACCTCCTGGCAACTTTGTCAAATGCAGTGCCTAGTTTGTCTAATTAGCCACTTCTGTTAAAAGGTTGGTTTGCTCTTAAAAATGAGTGCCATTGTAGTGTATGGAAATGCTAAGTCTGTCATTTTTTTACTTACACTAATAGAATTTATGGGGCTGTAAATCATATATCAGTGCATGACCATCAGCAAACACTGAACCAGAAGTCAACCTCTGCTTGAAGAAATTGCTCTTCAATATAAGGGAGAAGGTCAGAGCAGTTGGCAGCTCAGCATTTGCATATCTTGCTCAGTTTTTCTTTGTGATCATAATGTAGTGGAGTTCTAAAGGCCAGCCTTGCAGAGGGCAAGCCCTGCCTGTAGTTGCACAGGATGTGAGAAAAGAGTAAAGGTTTGAAAACTTCACAGGTGAGTAAGAGAAGAGGCAAATTTGAGGCAGAGCTGCCTTCTGAGTACTGAACAGAGTAACAGAATAGGAGAAAACCATGCAAGTGGACTTGTGAATGAGACTAGTCAGTTCAGAAAAGAAAGGTAGTAGAAAAATAGAAGAGCATGACTTCAGCACAGTGAAAGACAGAAGAGGAGAAATTGGAAAATGAAGCTTTGTAGTATTCCTTTGAGTGAAGGGATTACTAGATGAGACTTTAAGATGACAAAAAGAGAAGGATGAGAGTGTCTGGGCAAAAATTTCAGCAATGTGTTCTTTCAGAATACTTTTATCATCCTTTGTTATATGATGTTGTGGAGTCCTTTTTATTTTTCACTGCAGATGCTGACTTCCAGGATGTAATTGTTAACTAATATTAATAAATAGTACCAAATGATTTTTACAGGGCCTGTAAGAGACATGTAAGAAAATCTTGTAATGGATGAGAGGATGTCCAGCTGTTTTTGCTGTAAAGTTTATATTGAAGAATTAAATATTTTAAAAAGTTTCCCATTATAAAAAATCAAGTAAAAGAAGATTTTTGTATTTACTATAAGAAATACTTTTGTGTATTTTTTTAATGCTATTGAGATTTTTTTAGTTCCTTAAGTTTTCACAGTTTTATGATTCAAGAAAATAATCTGTGATAAGATTTGTAGTTAGAATGAAATATTTAACAGTTGTTAAAACTGGTGGTATTTGGTAGTAAGTGTGACTTTTGCTATCATTAAATATAGTTTTGAAATACTTAGCTTTAATAGAAAAAGCGAGGGTACAAGTGATTGAAATGAAGAATATTGATGGTGAGGTGAGGAGAGATTTCCTTGTTGACAAAACCAGTTTTTGGAGTAACCTGTGAATATCTTTTGTGTGTCACAGTGCAGAACAAATTTTGTTCTGGACTGGTTTTAGTAATTTTTTGATTATAATACAGACTTCCTGTGTCTTGCAACAGTTTCAGTGCAGTACATCACTGTAAGAAATTCCAGATTCATTTGAAAGATAACACCAGAATCTTGTCCAGTTGCTGTCACCAAAGGTTCTGATCAACCAGAAGTGCAAACTCATCCAAACCAGGAATCAGCAGAGTAAACTTGTTACAATGTCTATGGGGTGCTACAAGAAATCTGGAGAAGGACTTTTTCCAGGGGCATATAGTGTAGGGATGATGGCTTTTAACTGGAAGGTGGTAGATTGAGATTAAATATTAGGAAGATTTCTTTATGGAGAAGACGTGTAACACTAGAACAGGTTGCCCAGTGAAGCTGTGGATGCCCTATTCCTAAAGTGTTGTAGGTCAGGTTGGATGGGACTTTGAGCAATCTGATACAGATGAAGATGTCCCTATCCGTGGAGAAGAGTTAGAGCTAGATGGTATTTAAGGTCCCTTCCAATCCAAAACATTCTGTGTTTCTTTCAAACTGTTACCATTTTCTTTTCAATTAAAGACATTATCTGGTAAATTGTTTCTTGAATGCATGTTGCTCATACACTGCATAATAGAAAATTGCTGAACATGTTAGGTGTAAGTGAAGCCTGAACTAAGTGGTATTCTGATTTTGGTTTTTTAAGCATAATAGGCAGAAGTTAATCAGCGGATCTGCAAGTTATTCAAGGAAACCAGGATAAAAATCTGGAAGAAAAAAATGAAAGCATTACAATATTTGTGTTTATCATTTTAGAAAAAGAAATAATCGATCCCTCAAGCCCACACTTCACTTCAAAATAATGTATAATTTGAGAATAAGCTCAAAGATTGTGTCTTTCATTTAATTTGTACTTGTTTGTGGAACTGCCAGAAAAACAGTAAACCGATTCTTTCTGTACTTCTGAGTGTTTATTATTTCCCTTTTGGAAAGGGAAAGCAGATAATATGTGTGCCAGTTTGGTGTAGTTGGTGTACAGTTTGGTAGTGGATGAAGTCAGCAGCCCAGCATTCAGGGATAAAGATAAATAACCCTTGTCCATTCCTTTTCCTTCTAGATCAGTTTCACAGAGCCCCATAAGAAATACAGGGCTGCTTGTATATAGTCTGCATGACTACATAATCTTATAGTTCAAATGATAATACAGGTCTTGATAAGTCTGCAGTGATGGCAGCAGTCCTAGAAAAAGCTAATGACAGTCCCTGTGTTACCTTATGTAGTAGTAGTGACAGCAAGTAGTGCATGTATTTCTTCATATTTTAATATCTAGAAATGTTTTTAGATGCGTGTAGAATTAGAGTCATTGTTCAGTTGCAAAGTAATAGCCACCTGGCATTTCAGTGCTGAAAAATAACACCTCAAAACCAGATTTTTTTCCCAATCCTACTACTGTAAGGACCTCACTATAGAAATGCAGAAACAGACTCGAACTTTGAGAAATGCATATTTAACATCTAAAGGCAGAGCAAATATTGGTGTT